TCTTGGTCTTGTCAGGTGTCATCTTAGCTTCCTCTATCGAGCAATTTTCAATTTTTTTTTCAATTCTTTGCTTAAAATTAATGAAAGCTAAAGAAGTTCAGATACATGTTAACATATTGTCAAAGCATAATAGCTAAATTCTAAATTTTCCAAAGTATCCTTCACAAGCAAATAATGCATTTTTTTTAGCGTGGCAGTCTTTATAGCAGTGCTCTCAAGCAATAATGCCATTGAAGCTACAAGTATTTCAGGTTTCAGTTATCACGAGCCTGCTTTAGTTGACAATCCATCTCACTGTTAAGATTTTGAAAGTTTTTTTGCAGACTAAACCAAATTTTCGAATGTTTTCAAAAGAATGTTTTTAAACAAAATATTTAAAAATAATAACACCTTCAAAAGGAGGGTTTAAGGGCAATACTGCATTGAAATCCACTAAAATGTAAAAGTTTTGATCAACAGTCAATCTCCTTTTCAAAGGAATGCGGTGGCTTAGAATAAATCTAAAAACTCAAATATTAGCAGGCCCCTACTTCAATCTAGCCAATCTTTTTTGGTTTCAAAGAAAATTTCGCAAAATTTGAAGTTTAGATTTAATAGGAACTTAGAAAAAAGAATGTTTTGCGAGAAGTGGATGCTTCAGCCTGCTGTTTCTCTCCTTTTATATTTCGCAGGTAGCCCTAGTGACAATACTTGAATGTTTTTGCATATAAATTGTTCGCTCTAAAATCATTCTCTTCTTTGATAATATGGCACTGTCTACATATCATATTCTTTTATAAATCATGAAAAGAATAACAGAAATAATTTCCTCTTTTACTCGTTGAACAAACGCCGCATGTTCAGTTACAATCAGTGCAGCTATTCTATGAATAGGTGTATTGTGTAATCAAGAAGAAGAATTCTAATATCATTAATGAGATGAGTTATCAATCGATACTATTTGAACATGTTCTCACTGAAGGCCCACAAGCAGCATAAAAGGTGGATGCAGTCAGGCCACAGCATTCTCTACTCCTTCCTAAACAGTTTATTAAGCATTGATTTTCAAA